GAGAGAGAGAGAGAGAGAGAGAGAGAGAGAAAAGAAAGGGCACAACTTTTTCTTTGTGGTGATTCAGCAATCGAAATATGAGACGAGGGTGGATGGTCGGAATATAAATAAACCCACATACTTGTACAAACCAGCACCTCACAGCCTCGCTCGCTTCATGATGGTGGGGCCGTAGTGCCCTGCGAAAGCTCTTTTTTCTTTTTTCTTTTTCCTTCTTCCTTCCCCCCCACTCTCACTCCCTCGATTACCGGTATTCCACGATACTCCAAGTTTGTCCGACCAATCGATAGACATATCCACGTAGCCGGGCCTGCGGCTGCCCGCTCCCCACAAAACACAACCCGTCCAAATCGACCAAGCAAACATTCCCACGGACAGAAACTGAAAATCCATACTCGCAATGGAGCTAGAAACCCTCGGGTGAGTCCCGCTTTCCCATTTTTCCCGCACTTCGGTCGGTAACCCGCATCTTGGTTCATCGCATCGTATCGAAAAAAAAGCTCTCTTCAGTGCCGATCACGTGAAACGAATCCCGTCGCTGAGAGCTTTCATCCTCCCACTTGCCCCACACATCCATTGCCATTGCCAAACCCCAGCGCTAGCAGAAATGTTCGGCGGAAGACTCCTTTGGAATATAATAATCCAGCCGCCGAACAATCCCCGCCTTAAAGATTGACAAGGAATAGATATCACAACACTGAGCGAAAAATAAAACCACGCCAGACATATACATATGTGTGATTCGGCCAACCCCGGCACAGAGGCGTGGGGAAGGGTAAATCCGGCTACCGCATACTTGTATGGCCAGTAAGCATTGTCGCCTCGCACATGTGGAAGGGGTCGTATCTTCCGGCTGCGGTATTGAGTCGGCGGTTAGCACGATCATGATAGTCAGGTTCAAGACAATCCGAAGTAAGGCATAGGCTATACTTGCGCTTTCCTATGGCATACGTGTCAGGTAGGGTCAATTGATTGAGACCGCTGGATTATTATGTAGAAGATAGTAGGGAAATGATGATAAGGTGGTTGTTAGAACGAGAAGAAAAGAGGGAAAAAAAAATTGAACAAAAAAGAGTATTTTCAACCCAGCACCACCGCGTAATATAATACCCACCGATCTATCTATACCCCCAATACCCGTTTTCCCAATTCTCCAAAAACAAAAGCAGGCCAAACAAATGAGATGAGATGAGATAAGGAAAATAATAACAAAAGGTGAAGAAGGAAGAGGTCAGAAGAACATTCCGGGGCGGTGGGGTAGCTGTATAAAGCCATATCGTATTCCAAAGCATTCCCCCAAGACTTGGTGGGGAAAAATATCGACTCCAATTAAAACGTGAGGTGCCAAAGACCAGGTAAGGAAAAAACATCAACCACAAGATAGATAAATCAATACCATAATCCAAAAACACACCACCCAGTCTATCAAGGCTCTACTTCCAATCCAGACAAAATCCAACCCACGCCCAAGCTGCGAACGGTGGGAATGGGGCACCCGCTCCACCCAAGCACGTGAAAGAAGCCCTTCAATTGCCCAATGGCCATTTCCCGAAAGGCAAAAGTGAAAAAAGGGAAGCGACCCCGCCCACACTCAACTCGATCCCCTCCGATCGTCCAAGGGTAAAATATCAGACGGAAAAATCTTGCATATCCCTGACTACGATGGCCACAGAAGCCCTCTTCGCGGCTTCAGCAACAAGGTTCATTTCCTTCCTCAGGGAGCTAGCCTGATCATCAGGGTTCCCTGAGCCAGAAGCATCACCGATACCGGTCCAGGCGGGAGTATTTCTCGGAATGGATCCCCTTCTGCTCGTCGAAGTGGGCGTGGGGTTTGGTACGAGGAGGGTGGACTCGTTTGTGTTGGACGAAGATGATGAAGACATTATGCCTGCGTGAATTGTCTGCGCTTTTCTCTTTTTCTTTTTTTTTAAAAAAAAAGAGTGGATAAACGGAAAACTCGCGTTATTGTAACGAACGAACGGATGGATAGATAGATGCCTGGGGCGAATTGGGTCGATATGGTGATATGATTATTCGAAAAAGAGGACCCTTCTTTCTCTCTCTCTCTCTCTCTATTCTTCTTCTTTCCTTTGGGCCGTAAGGTAGCAGAGTCTGCGCTCGCGGCGGTATATGAACGTATCTGGAGGGAGGCGGGCAGGTGAAGCCCGCGAGGCAAAGCAAGATGGGTACGGAGGTATAATGGGTGAGCGAGAGGAGAGGAAGAGGAAAGAGAGCGTGAAGGTGGTGTATGCAAACAGGGGAAGGAATCTTGGGGGTGGAAAAAGGTGACGGGAGGAGAAGGAAAGAAGCTAACATCGGCCGAGCAAGGGTTGGGTTTCGCCGTCCTGTCTAGGGTGTGTGTGGGGGAAATAACAAACCCTTCTGATACCCACAGCCTCTGGTCATCAAGAGCTCGATAATCTCCGTTTGCAGCCACAAGCACGGATTCCAGCGACGGCTGAAACCCTTTTTTTTTTTTTCTGCGGGGGAAAAGGTTGAGGAAAGGTACTGTACCTCACTACGCATCTCTTGTTCCAAAGAGGGAGAATGGGGAATCTAACAAAGGATATGATACTTTTTTGGAAAAAAAATGAAACAAGGGAAGGTTAGGTGGTCCTACAGATATAGCGATCACTGGACAGTCACGTACAGTAGACTACCGGCATCATTCACTCCCTTCCACCAGGAAAACACTTGACGCTCAATCCCACAATAGGAAGTGGATGGAGATCCGGGCCGGGGAAGCACAACAAGTGTCCTCAGAAATTCCACAGGGACACCTTGCCCCAACATCCCGATAGAGCAATGAGGCACAGGACAGGAGGAGGGTCTTGGAAAGAGAAAACCAATGAAAAATGTTACTGTAATTACTGTACAAGAAACTCCCCCACACCTCAACCCCAATTGGGGAGTGTGGGGAACTCGAGAACAACCGGTGACTAAGATAGATCAGCTCTCTCCCGCCATGTTGGGCACAATGACAGGAGAGTGATGCTGCAAGGAGGAAGCTTGGAGGAGATCCATTACCGAGCTATTACCAATTACAGGAACCGGAATCGGCATTTTCAGCGAAAGTTTTTTTTTTAAGATAAAAAAAAATAAGGCAAAGAAGGAAGGAAGAAAGGAAGGAAGGAGAATAAAAGAGAAGGGCACCAATCCATCCACAACAATCATCCCAACACGCACCCACTTTCACAAACACTCTACCTGACAAGCAGTACAGTAAGCACTCATCCTTAGCTTCCTATATCCGAGCCTTTGAACCACAATCCCTTCGCACAGTGCCGCAGCCTACCGTACACCACGTACGGCACCGGCACATTTTCGAGCACCTGAACTACCGTACGAGCAACGGCGTTGCTGACAAGTGGCGAAACAACCCAAAGATCCCCCCTCCCTATACCGGTTGATAATGTGGGCATTATATCACGACGGACGCCCTTCAGAGAACTACTGCTCGCACTACACTACATTGCATCATACCAGCAGTACGGTACTCGAGTACCGGTACCGTACGAGTACCGCCAGGTCACCGCCAAGATCTACCACCGCCTTCCCCATGTATCGTTAAACCCTCGTACTAAAATCTCCGTCTTTGCGCTAAAAGTTTGCGAAATCCGGGGACAGAGGAAGGGATCCGCACACCTTACGAGTGGATCACCTGTGGATCTTCCTTTTCTTTTTCCTTTTTTCTTTTTTCCTTTTTTTTCCGACGCACCACTTGCGCTACTACGGTCAAGGTAGCGGGGAGTGGGGAGGAAGAGGAGTACCGCACGGTGTCGGTCTCACGACGACGAACAACAAATAACGAGTGAGGGAATAGGCAATTGACATACCGGTTACATTACATACAATACGAGCACGGGCAGCGGCCATCGATTGCGGATTTGAGTTAGGGAAGTCTCGGAACAACTGGGTATCCCGTTGATTATCTCTCGATTATTGGACAGGAAGGTGAGGAAGGTGGTGGGAGGTAGAGGCTAAATACAGTCCGGAAGAAAAGAAAAAAAACCCCCATTATAAAGCGGTCTCAACGGCTTTCCACTTCGAGGTTGAGGGTGGGTTGTCATAACAGGTGTCCCCTCCATTCGCACGGAACCCGTATCGGCGCAAGTAGGTTCGATTACCATAAATTCACCAGAACGGAAGAAGGGGAAGGGAAGGTGATTACATATACACCCCATGACATTGCTCACGCAGGCAATCCCCCGCAAATGCCATTCACGAGCACAGATACAGTCCCTGGAATGATGTGAGAAAGAAAATGGTAGTAGAGAGGGAGATGGTATTGATGTTGTCATTCACCCAGGAAAAGAAAAAAAAAAAAAAAAAAAAAAAAGAGAGATACAAATTCCAATGTAGTGGAGTACGTTGCTGTAATTACAATGCGCGGAGGGGGGGAGAGAGGGTCTTTCCTTTCAACACCATTCAGGATCCTCCACATATTTTTCTTTTAGCTCCACATCTTCCTCCCTCAGCACGATGCCATCCCCCATTCCCTCCCTTAGATCCCACCACCCCCTTTCCCCTTAGGTTATCCCAACTGTTGTATGCATAAGCCACCGATATAGCTAGAACATATCGTAGGTTGTCCTTCACGTAAATCTCCATCCGGCAAGCCATTGAATGCGATTCTCATCTGCCAACAATACCCCATGCGTATGTTCAGATAAAATCGACAAACCGCATCCATCGTCACTCCAACAGCTGATCGCCCCGTCGTATTTTTTGGTTAAAGAAAAGAGTTGGACAAGTCATGAGGACGAGGTAGAGAACGGGAGCACAGTGAAAGAAATAAGAATGCTTATAATATCAGTTTTTAGGCCAATATATCGCTTCCCTACTTCTCTTGAGACATCACAAAGAAATACCGAAGCACCCTAACAGGAAATGGAAGAGAAGAAAGTGAAAAACGAGACACCAAATCTGGCTCGCAAAATGAAAGGGAAAAAGGTATCAAAAGAGCACGATAGGAAAGGACCCGGACGACCGAAGCAAATGGCCTTGACGACATTTAGTTGTCCAAGAGTAAACAAAAAAAAAGAATACACACACTATGCCGAGAACATAGGAATTGAAGGCGAACCGAACCAGGACGTAAAATGGAACAAGAGAGTGATAAGAAAGAACAGCAACACAGAACGGAAGTTCCAAGAAATAAAAGGTGATTTACGAAAGTAATATATCATGAGATCGGATATCAGAAAGAAGTCGATTCCGAACCCCAACTTGCACAAGCGAAATTTTGCCAACCACGAGCGAGATACGCACACACCGGATCCAAATCACTGGCGAGCGCTTTTTGTTACTGATGACACGCTAAAGCCAAGACAGGCCACAAAGGGCCGGCCGGACCGAGCGAAAGAAAATTAAACTTTGGTAAGGTAAGAAATTATATCAGTCCACATTCTCGCAGATTCTCCTGGATGATGATGTCTAGTATACAGCGTCAGCATAAGCAATACGGTCCAGGGTTGTAAGGTTGTATCACCATTAACAGCTGCCATAACAAACCGAATTTGAGTGGTATCGGTAGCACAAGTGAAATGGGTATATATCTGCTTAGTCTCAGATTGATTTAGGGAAACAAAACGGTTCAATATATAATCGCAAGCCGCGGTGTAATCCTCGCCTCCTGTCACCCGATGTCAGTAGTGACCATTTCACACATCAACTTGGTGCCGCAAACCTTCATAATCGCCGAAGTAGTTCTTCATCGGACTGATGGGAAGCTTCTCGCGGAATCGATCAATCTTGTTCAGGAAGAGAATGATGCTTGTTTTGATGAACCATCTCGAGTTGCAGATCGAGTCGAACAAGGTCAAGGCTTCCTGCATACGGTTGACTGTTTCATCCTCAAACAACAACTGGTCATATTCCGAGATGGCGACCAAGAAGAGAATCGTAGTGACATTCTCGAAGCAGTGAATCCACTTCTTACGCTCGGAACGCTGTCCACCAACATCAAACATACGATACGTAAGGTCTCCGATGATAAAGGTAGTCTCGGTGATACCGGTTGTCTTGACACGCGAGCGCAACACGTCCTGATCGTTGGGTAAATATTCGGCTTGCGCAATTCTGTCAATGGAGTCGAAATAACTGTCGCGAGTGTTAGCCTTTCCATCAACAGCCGACCCCGAGAGGAAGGAAAACACGTACTATTTGGCAGAGTCATTCAGCTGATATTCTCTCGACCGTCTGAAGCACTCCTGCACCCCGCGATCGGCCCACAGTGTCTTGATGGCATTTCCAACCTCTGGCGGTAAGCTCTCGCCTTCAATCTGTGTGGGCTGCATAAAGATGGTCTGGACGTGGTACTCGGCCCGGGTGTCATCCAAAGGTAACTCCAGCGATTCCATGGCCTCCAAGATTACTCTCATCGATTGTACTGTATTCGAGAAAATGATCTCCTTGAAAGACTCGCATTCATCTCGACTATAACCCCCCTCGTGGATGAGTTTCATCTGTTTTAAGATGGTAGACTTGCCAGATTCACCAGCTCCTATACAAAAGACGCGTCTCAGCCTCAAGAGTAGATGGAAACGAATGAGGCGCAGGATGCGCAATGGCGGGACCACGTACCTAACAGGAGCATCTTGATCTCGTTTCTCTGCATCATCCTGTCCTTCTTCAGTTGATTCTCGATCTCCTCATTCCTCTGCTTCCCCTCCTTCTCCTCGGTGCTCATTCCACAGCCCATCTCGTCGTGGTTCTGATAGTGTCAACCGGGAAAATAGAGTGGCGAAGGAAAGCTATACGTCGAGGAGGCAATGACTAGTGTGAATGATATTAAAGTGTGTGGTGTTGGAGAACCGATTTGCAATGGCGCGTTCGCGAATCTCTTCGGGATGACGAGACGGATTAGAACCGGATGAGGTTTTTATTTTCTTCCGTTGCCAAAAGATGGGAGGACAGATGGGTTAGATGAACGGACGATTGGTGGGGAAAGGGGAATAAGGAGAAGGGAAGCGAAAGTGGAAGGGCTAAGGTGCAAGGGGGATGGGGCTCCAGGGGGGGCTGCTGCACGATTTCTTGTTAGGAAATCGTTTTTAGCTCACCTTGGCACGACCCGATCCGAAGGGGTGAATGCGATGCGGAGAAGGGAAGGCTGTGTGTCCTGAGGATATGCGTGTTTGCAACTTCGAGAAGCCTTCCGTCGCTTCTTCCTCTTCAGCTCCCTTGTACTGGGGACCTCCCACAATGCTGGGCTGACGGGCGAAGATGGATCTCGATGAATGCGCGCGGATACGGTAGAGTAGGAGGTAGAGGAAGGAAGGAGAAGGATCGAAGGGGAGGTGTGGAAAGGGAGGATGGATTTGTAAGGATTATAGGGTAGAATTCCACCAAACAGAATGAACAAGGAAATGCAAGTCCGCTTTCCAAAAGGTAAAAAAAAAAAAAACTTACCAAGGATGTATATTAAGTGATAAGCCTTACTCCGGGTTGCAAGTGGCGGTAGTGAACCGTTGAATGGGATTTTTTTTCCTGGAGGAACCGAAGGCCAATATCAAAAGATCTTCTTTCTGGAAGATTTTACCCTCCAGTTGAGTCCCGAGTGTTGAAATTACGTGGAGCGAATGTTTTGGAAAGAAAAAAAAAAAGCAGAGGGTGCAGAGTGGGTTGGCTCTACCGTAAGGTGGAACTCGAAGGACACACACACGCACACACCCAACAAAGAGCGGCAGCCGATAGTGAGGCAGGAGGATGAGGTAGGTAGGGCTTAGCCTTTCACGCAGGAAGTGGAAAAAAAAAAGAAATACGATGGCGAGAACGCACAATAAAGGTGAGAAGTGAACACACAATTGTCAAAAGCAGTGCGCGACGTCGACAACGACGAATGCCCAACGATTGAGAAGGGTGGACGTGAAAGGGGCGGGGAAGGAACTTGATCGCGAAAGGGAGAAGAGGGAAGTGCCGGAGGGGGGGGGGATAGTGGAGGAGGTCAAGATACTCGAGTGGGTAAGTTGTGGTGGTGGTGATTTCCCTTGGGCTCGCGTTCCCTACGGCTCTGGGGATATTTTAGGGTGATTTGATGGATTGGCCTTTTAGTTTCTTAACAGCAGGCAAGGGATGGTGATGGATGGATGGGGTTCGGGCTGTGAAATGCGCGGGTGGGTGGGTGGGGGGGGGAGGGAAACGAAGGGGAGTGGAGGGCTCTGTAGTTCATTTCTTCTTTCTGAGCGCCGCCAGTAGGGATGCCTCGAAGAGTGGAGGACCCGCTGCGAGAAAGCCCTGGGAATGAGCAGAAGTGCGATCGGGTAGGGGGGTCTCCAGCCAGTTACCTACCCAGGCGGGTCGTATCACACCTCCCGACCTGCTTCCCACTGCACAGGATACGGTAATCGTACACAGTTTTGAGGCCGAGTGGCTGCTGCTGCAGCTACGAGTACCATACCAGTACTCAGTAATCATCGCTTTTTTTCTGCTACTGCCAGCTGCCATTACAAGTACTCGGGGGGTAAAAAAAAAAAAGAAGAAGCGGGCTCTTCCCACCACCCACTGCAACCTGGTACATAATGACCAGCGAAGCTTGACCACCAGACGGCAGCCATCGGAAGGAATCCGTTACCATAGAACCCCCCCCCCAAAACTAGAGCAGGTACAGAAAGCCAGCCGCTACTCCACAGTTCATTCCCGCGTCACCGCAGCGTACAAGCACAGCGTAGCACTCGCCCCCGTCGACTACCGGTATTTAGCGTTTGCATCAACCGCTTGTAATTTCACCCAGCGCAGATACCGATACGGTACGATTGCCCCAAAGTCTCCATTGGAGAGCTACTGCAACAGTCTACCGTACTGTACAAGTACAGTAGCAATCCCGCTCGGCTGAACGCATACACTATGCAGGCGCTTAAAAAAAAAAAGTCTACAGCTCCCCGGTTCTGAGCAGCTGTCAATCAGTCTCACAACGATCACATCTTACCGTCAAAGCGAAGGGGGTAAAATGACAGGAAAGGAAAAAGAAAGAAAAAGGCATTCTGTACGAGTACGGTACGGTATCATGATGAAAAAAACCCAACTAAATGAAAAAATGAAAAAAAACATATAAAAAATTGAACGTCACGAACTTTTCGCTACCGGCACTTACAAGAGCTACTGTAGTACTCGAGTAGAAAAAAAGGGGGGGAAGGGTGGGGGGGCAAGCACATCATTTCGCACGAACCGCTAAGATCCTGACGTTTTACAAGGGGGAAGCCTGCAGTGGCGTTTTGAACGGAAGACTACCGAGTCGTCGTTCTCTGCTCTAAATTCATCCTAACCTCCTCCTCCTCCCAATTCGATCCCAAAACAAACAGGAGCGGGCTTCTAGGTGAGATCCGAGACAGAATTCTTACGCTTCCTATGGATCCTGTTGCTCGTTGGTATTTTACGAGATCTTTCCAGCCATCAGGATTGCAAGTTCCTGCGTTTGGCCGATACCTGTGCGGGAACAGTATCATACTCGTACCGGTACCGGTAACTACTTGTACAAGCCTCTGTGGTTCGTCTCGTACAGTGCAGGCCCCTTAAATCTTCCCTTTATGGCCGCCATATCGGTAATGTACAAGTACCCAATACTTGCACAGTAATAATAACAATAATAATAATAATAATAATAATAATAATAATAATAATAATAACAAAGCATGTGTACCGCTACCGGTATGGTATTGTCGGCAAGAGCCATTGGCACGAATGTACTAGTACAGTATGTGTACCGTACCCCGTGAGGCTGCGAGCGACCCGGTACACCGCATGTATGATACAACATCCATGAAACCGAGGAAGCCCGGCGGGTGGCTTCTCGAAACAGCTGCCTCGGGGGGTGTTTTATAACGCAGAGATGGGTGGAAACATTTTATGCATAAAAATTTATATTCGAGTACCCAGCAGAAGAGTTTGGCCCCCAGCAGAATGACCCGCTTTCTTCTGGCGAAAATCCCGAGGGCAAAAGTTATCATCAGCCTTACCCGAAAGAGGGCGCTGGAGTACTCTGTGGGTTGCCAAGTAGCTCGATAGCGATTATTAACCTCCTCGGCTCAGGCTCTCATTCGCTGTGTGGTGAATAAGATCGTCTTACTAAGGACGAGTCTTAAAGTGACTTCCCTTGTGGTGGATCGAAGATTGTCAACAAAAAGTGCAATTTAACGGGGTCAAGATGCTCTAATGTTTTGCGGAACTGGTTTTCAGAAGCGGGTAGCGTTATGATTCTTCACGGGTGAAATCGCTGCATCAATTTCTCCTCCTGATACTTGAACCCGTGGAATACCCACGACACCATTCCCTTTTGAGAAGCCTTGCCGTTCCTCTTTCAGAGATGAAATACCGGTACCGGTGGGCTCCGTCTTCTTTCCTTTTTCCTTTTTTCTTTTTTTCTTCCCCTTTCCTTCCGAACCTGACCTGACAAAAGAAGTATAAAAAAACAAAATGCAACACAGTAGAGGTTTCTCCCGAACCATACCGGTACTGTATCCAGAATTTGCACAAAGAATCTCTCGTCCATTTCGGGAATGTCCAACTTTTGGCGGAATCTCGTATTAGAGCCTACCAATCACAAGCAGACCCAAGGGTCTTCGCTAATGCTTCTAGAGCCGTTTTGTCCTCCTCATCGAAAGCTGAGGGAACTGTGGAGTCGATATCTATGACTGCCACAACCTGCAAACTCTCCCTGTTAGCAAACCCTATCCGAGATTCGAGGGTCGGCATGACGCATGTTAATCCGGACCCCACACGGATCTACTGAACATCACTCTGGTGGATGATACAATGACTTTTCAGGGGCTTCTCTCTTGCCTTTTCTCCAATCTTGACAGGTACCACAATCTCACTCTTGGTCTCCCCGTCACAAGCGATGTGGCCTGGAAATCTTTGAACATCCTAGATCGAGGGAGGAATACAAAATTCCAGTCAGTATCGTAACCGTGACAACGGACTGAATCCGGCCAACCTGGACCAGCTGCGTTTCACCGCTAGCTGCCGCCTTCCCGCAAACTCCCCGACCGAACTCAATTGTTTGGCACGCAACCTGGAACCATGCACGATAAGTTGGCGTTAGCCTCGAGAGATCTGGGATTCCTGGTACAGTAGACAACACTCCGGGAAACAATGCTATACAGCAACAACAATAACTAGAATAAAAAGAAATGACGAGATTCTGTAGGTCCGCCACAATTGACCCGTGGGTGCACCAGGGATGAGCCGTTTCAAAATGCATTCTCCCCGGCGTAACCAACTGGCGGGTGCTTCCAACATTTTTGTACCACAATGAGGCAAGGAGAGTCCCAACCAGACATAAGCTACAGTAGACTACCGGTACCTACCTTTCCCATAAAGGGACCCAGTATCAACTGTTTCGAAGTTGTTGGATCGAGAACGTAGAAACCTTCGAGAACAACAGTTAGCCTTCCATCCAATTTCCCAATTTAGAAATCGGGAGAGATTATTCGCCATTGGCGGTTCGGATAGCCGGATAGTTGCTTGAGGGGGGCCAACCACACGGGCCCTTTTTTCACGCTTACCTGTCCAATTTGTGTGATTGGAGGGCTCGGGCATTGACTTCAAAGCGTGCCAGATAATTGATGCCGTGTTTGCAAGGTTGCTTCCGGCCTCATTAGCAGTCACACTCTCACACCGGTACTCGAGTAGAATCGAGTGCCGAAAAGAAGGTTCCCATGGGGATGAGCGAGGATGGATATTCGGTCGCGGAAAGGAGAGATGCATACCAGACCTGTCAAAGGTGTCAGATTACCGAGGCCATTTGGCTCACGCAGGCAGGAGGTTTTGTGGGGCGCGTATATATATATATATATATAGATGCCATACCCAGTTTCTTTGGCCCTCCAGAAGTGCCTCTGTTGATTCGGTCACCTGTTTCCATGCTTCTGTCTTGGTGATGCCCTCTGTAAAGTTCGCAGCGTCAGCATGAACCTATGCAGCAGTAATTAGTTTAGTAATCTCCGTGAGTAGTTAGGCACAGGTACAGCTACCATCTTGAATTGGTGTGCTCGAGTATAATTAATGATGTCGTAGAGTTAGAAGCGGAATAACTAGAGGTGAATGCTGATGATCCTCTGTGTGTTGATGGGTTTGCGTTTCCACGACCCAATTCTGCGCCATACAACTCAAGCACAGTACAGTACTCGTACTCGCACTGCATATTCGGTTTCTCAGATGTGTAAGACTTCTGAGTACCGTATGTGACACAACTCGCAAAATAATACACAACACCCAAGTAGAACAGAAGAAGAAGAAGAAGAACAAGAAGAAGAAATTGACGGTGGTTATTCCATTTTATGCAAAAACATCTGAGCGGGTAAATTTCTCCCGTTATGATACTTTACAGTATGGTACAGCGTTCAATTAGGATCATCGAGAATTTTATTGAAAAATCTCTCAGCCTGATCCATTGCCGCCCTTTTGTTATGATTCTGGCCGGGCCTTTCCTGGACGGCAAAGTCTGTGACATTATCGCCGGGCCGATGGTTAGCTTCCCAGTAATCGCCTTGCTTGGGAATCGGTGCGAGCTTACCATGAGGGGCTCCTGGGTAGACGTGAATCTCACTGCCGGGCGGGGCCTTCTGCCCGATCCAGTTCTTGAACTCCTCTATTGAATTCTTGGAAAGGAATTTATCGTCGCTTCCCAGGGCTAAACAAATTGGTTTACCGACAGGGTGAAGCTCCTCAGGAAATGTGAGTTTCACTGATGATACCAAGCAAAGTCAATCAGCCGAGCCATGGATAACCGGAAAGTTGTGATGAGGGGGAAAGATTATGAAGCATGGAAAAGTATCAGCTTACAGGGAGAGGCAGCATAAACTGCGTCGACATATCTAAAGCCGCTATTGAGTATAGAACGGCTCCTGCCCGCCAGCAATATCGCCTGTCTCGCTCCCCAGGAATAGCCCGCGGCAAAGACTCTACGATTGGGGTTCTCGAGGCACAAATTTTTGAAAAATTCATTAATGGTAGCTCCACATTCAGAGTCTCTATGGCGATAGAGCCAGAGCTTCAACGCGACGGCTGTCCTCCTGGAAAGAAACTGTCAGTGAACAGAAAACAATTAAAGAAGAAAATCATGGAAAACCATTCTACCGAAACTGATCACTTACAATCTAAGACGGAGGGGCTGCTGAGTGGATCCCTGGCTCGGCACGAAATTGTTATACTTCAAGGGAAAGGAATCACCTAACTCGCAAAAGTTGTCCGGTTAGAAATGAGGTTATTATGATACCCTTGCTACACAATATACAGCAAAACTTTTGGGAAAAGGCGAGTTGGGACAAACCGTTCATAAAGTCAGGAACATATACAGTAGCCCCGGTTTTGTCACCAATCTCGTCGGCAATAAGGCGAGTATTGATAAACTGCCAACCGAAAACATCGGGAATGATCACGATGGTATATATGGGGCTACTATTGAAGACATAAGTGTTGAGGCCGTGAACAACAGTTTCAAGTCCCATAAGGATTTGCGCCGATTCACCTATAATTAACCGTTAGCAAGGTGCCGCACCTCATCCTCTCCTGTCTGAATTGGTGGCCATACGATCAGTGGTGTGGCCCACATGCACAGTTTGAGCAAGAGAGTCTTGATCGGACATTTTCCGGGCTATGCTTCTGGTTGAAGAAGAGAGGTTCGCTGCCTTGGCTGCGTTATAGTGGAGTGTGTTTGGTTTACAGGGGTGGGACGAGAAGCTCCACCTGAGGATGCCAGATAGGAAACTTACCAGTGGAAAGCCATCTTCAAGATAGGGCTTTCTCTCTTGTGTTTTTCCGGGTTACAATATTCTCGTTCGGGCTTCTTGTGCTGGCCTGGGTGGACTAGATAGGTTTACATTCTCCGGGTGTGATACGGTAGGGCAACGGGTGAGAATATGATAGTATTATATCACAGGAAACAACGGGTTGGTGGTTTAGCACTCCCATAGAGCTATCATACTGTAGTCACCCCGTTCCCTGGAGGCCGGGGTGGCCACGGGGGACTCCTCACAAAGTTGTGTTGTCACGAATTATTCAGAAGACCAGTTTTGTATAATCCACCAATGCTTGTGTTGAGTGATCACTTATGATGCGACGGGCAATTACCATGGGGACTCGGGCAAATGAGCCTTGTGCTAGGACGTTGGACTCACTTCTCCTAGTAAGGTCTGGTGTTTTTTTTTCATTTTTTTCATTTTTATTTGTCTCGGAGAGCAGACTTTTTGGTGCGTTTCTCACCCCTTTTCCAGGTGAGGAAATTCTGGACTACATAGCACGAGGATCGTTTATTCGAGTTATTACCGCACCTAATCGAATGGGATGGCCCAGCCGGACCGGCGAAAGAAGAGAAAGAAAAAGGGCTCAATTCGAGAAGGAAAAACAGAAGCAAAAGCCAATTTTGTATATACCGACACCCTTCGATCATACCTATTAACCTTTTCGTGTCTCTTCTCAGCCCGGCCTGGCCTTGCTGAGCTGTGTGCAGCTAAATTCGCAAATTACCAACCGAAAAACTGAATGTGGATCCTTATATCGACCTAATTCACCACGGCCTAGAGCGACAACTATAACGGACAATAAATAAATACAAGTTTCCTAGTCCAGTGCAGCCTCCCGGATTGCAAGAGTCCGACATTGCATTCCTGTTCCTGTTTTCCCAAATCCTGCCATAAATGCCGATAAACATTCCCCGAATTCCACCTCTCACAGCATTCCCATACTAATTCCAACCTTCACATATACAAGTAGGATAACAACAAGGTCACTTCCCCGACAACAACCAGCGAACTGGGTAAATATTGAGTGATGGGTCATGAAACACACTATTGCAACATATCTGCGCCGAGACGATTCAAGGCGTATAGTGGCTCGGCGGATGGGGGAATGGTGTGTCGTCCATGGCCCGGCTCAGTCTATCGGATGCGCTGTGACCTGTGTACCTTACGAGTGTCATACCGGTACCAGTATAATACCAGTGGTAGCTAGAAATGCGGTGCGCCAAACACAGTATGATACCTATCATACCGCATTATTTGGCGAGAACCGGCAGGCGCTAGTACGTTGAATTAAGGAGACGGCCTAGATCAACCCGAAGATTAGAACCTAAGACAATGATTTATGATGATTTTTAATATGACATAGAGGATATTCTCAACGTCGTATGACTGAAGACATTTCCTTCACTACTATAATACTAGTA